TATCTATCTATCTATCTATCTATCTGTCTATCTATCTATCTATATATCTATCTATCTATCCTTCTAAGTATCTTCTCCTGAATGAAACGAAATGTGAATTCGAAGAACGCTGGAGAGGAGTGAAGGAAGGAAATATTGACAAGTATTGAGATAACACATTGTTTATGCATTTTTAACATATTGGCGTATAGCCGCCTTTCTCAGCTCTGACTCCAGATTCTCATTTTGTTAGTGAGGACATGGTGTCCTATTGTTGTAACTGTTTGCCTAACATTATAAGGACTTTGACGAGTTGGCTGCGACACTGACGAAACGAACCGACAACGTTCATTAGTATTCTCTGAACCATAAAGTGTTTCAGCCTATAGTTGGTACAATACGTGTCTGTGCTTGCAAAATCGCCGTAACATATTTTAGTTTAGTTTTAGTAAGGGATTTACGGCATTTACAACATAATATGACCACCATCAGTACCGAAGATAAGAGGTGTTACTAGAGAGTAACATACAAAGAAAAAAATGAGGATTGATAAGGACAATAGACGTATGATCAGAAAGGAGGAGCAATCCACACCAAACCACCCGCTTACCAGCCATTCCATAAACCTTCCCGGAAAAATAAACGATGAGAAAACGCATAAAAATGCAGCAAGTAGTTACTTTTGTGACTTATATCCCCCAGCCATCAGTGAAACCTGAATGGGCACAGCTACTGCTCCTATGACCTATAGAAAAGTAGAAAAGTTGTAATAAAATTTGTGATTTGATACTTCTTTCTACACTCGCCAAATACATCGCTAAATATGTTTTTATGTATGGCGCAAAAACAAGTCAATTTAACTTTTTCAACTTCTGTTTGAGTTGTTTTTGTTTTAGTGTTCGAGTTATGAGTACGTGGGCATTGTGGCTGTTTTCTAGACACAATAGACGTTCTTGTGAAGAAAACCAAATGTTTGTCCTATCTTAAACTCAGAATGTCCTCCTCACAATCCACATAGCGGAGACAAATACAGTCTCTTGGATATTTGAATGGACATAAAGGCCTAGATCATCTGGCTCTCTCTCTCTCTCTCTCTCTCTCTCTCTCTCTCTCTCTATCTCTCTCTCTCTCTCTCTCTCTTTGGAAAAAAGAGGGCGAAATAGGTCCCCTCTGAAGCTGAAAACCTATATCTATTTAATCAAGGTTTTTCCAGTAAAATGCACACAGAAATGTTTTTAAATAGACTTAAAAGGTGTCGTAATAAAAATTGCCTAGAGGGCGGGACAAAAATGTCGTTTTCTCCTATTTCGTTATTTTGACGTGCGCTTGTTTTCAACACGGTGCCACACTCTTTCGACAAAAAGGTTTGGAGAAGATATTTACTCATTTCGGGAAGCGTATGGATTCCATGTGTAACCGTTATGATCTAACAAGCAACACCACACAAGAGAGTGAAAGATGCATAGGCATTATTATATAAAAAGAAATCAATAAATAGTTTGACCGCCAAAGTCCGACGATGACCAATGCGTGCTCTGCAGGAAGATAATAATTTAATTTCTTTTATTAAGCGAAATAGAAAAACTAATAGCTAAAGTGACTGTTGCTTTTGTTGTGGAAAATGCGATCAGTTTGACTTGCGCAAAGGTTCGTTTAAAGTGAGAAAGAACGGTGTTGACATCGGAATCACCCTCTCGACTAAGTACACTATCGGCTCCTCATAACACTACACAGAAAACACATTCATCTTTGATACCGCGGTAATCTCCACAATTACATTTCACGAACTGACTTTCCTGAACAACACCTAAAATAATGTTACTAGTTGCTGAATGGATACCCCCCCCCCCAGTCCCCCTCTTTTCCCCTCACTGTTGTAGCTCAATAAAAATTAAAGATTTACCTCATTCATTCCCCTCAACCTCCCCTCTCAGAATACTCCGCGATCTACATATTATTAATGTATTTCACTAGAGAACGTAGTATTCCCACATCAACCACAGAAACTATTAACTGGCTGCTGAACTTGTATAAAAAGAAACCCCGCTTCCTGTTGTGCCTATGATTAAAACATAATGAAATATCCACTC